GGACCTTTTATTATTTTTTTTTTTTGAAGACCTTTTTAGCACCCTCCTTGACGAGTGACAAAACCCGCCCTTGCATTAAGGTGATAATTTTTTTTAAATCTCGAATTGGCATTGGTGCCTCACAATAATTTTTCAGACTGAAAACAAAAGGTATCTTAATTATAATAAAAAAAGTTAAAAAACTTTCCCCATAAAGCAAAAAAAAGTTTTTAATGATTTTAGGCCTTTTCAAAATAAAGTTATGTATTTCTAATAAATTTTAGATGCTTAAAAAGTTAGTACCAGTATAACTTTTATATTTTGTTACAAAAAATTATTTTTTTATTGATTGTTTTTTTAGTTTTTGAATAAACCATAATTTCTTACACTGTTTTTACTGCACGTTATGCTCAAATATTGGATCATTTTTTATAACAGTTTCTTGATTACACCTGTGTCTTAAAAACAACTTCTTTGCTTTTGCATACTAGTTAACTGCAGCTAATAAAACTTCATAGTTTGTTCTATTATATTAGTGATTGGAAAACCAGATATTCATCCAATCTCCAGTAATAAAATTGCATGCTGGTTGCAGTTGCTGCCGATGTTCTGGCAATAAAATAAATGCCAGTAATGCTATAATTCCTCTTGAATTCCATTTAGCATTACAAATATTTGGATGAGCCTTCAAATTGATTTTGGCAAAATCTTTTTTCCACATAATACCTGTAATGATGCCCTAGCTCACACAAAAACTACCTGTCATCTTGCCATACCGCTGCTGGTATGTTGATGATTGACGCTGACTGTTTAAAATTTTTACCAAGACATCATAATTTTTTACCAGTTCATCAACAAAAAAATAATTTATATTTAGTGACAATGTTTTGCCTTTAAATATAATTTTATCCATGATATGCTTCAATAAAAAATCTAAAACGTGATGTTGGCAACAAATATATCGAACTTCCAAAATTCCTGGCTATAAACTCTTTTTTTAAATATGCAACAAAACCACCTTTTGCACTAGTATTTGTGTTTGTTGTGTCACAAATAATCACTTTTATTACTTCGCATATATCAAATTCATTTAAAAATTTAATTAATGCTGAAACAATTGTTTTGGTTTTGCCATCCTATAAGAGCCATGCTTTCAATGAACCTATATATATACCAACTTTATTTCCTGATCATTGTTTTTTAAAACTACAACTTTCATTTCTTTCTGTTTAATCTTCTTGCCATGCAATATATATTTTTAAAATGTAGTGCCCATAAATTTTTTAAAATAATTTTCTTTAATTTTTCTTTATTTCTATCAGCTTCTTTTATAACTGCTTTGTAAATACCTGCCTTTGTTGAAGTTGTAATATTAATACTTCTTCTGATAATTGATGAGTTTTTTCTCTGGTGTGTACTTCGCTTTACATTCTTTACTAAAGAAACAGCTGAAGCAGTTGAAGCTTTTCTTTTTCTTTTAGGATTACTGAAATTACTAGTAGATGGGGCAAAATCATTGGTTACTTAATGGACCACAAATGGTCCATTAAGTAACCAATGAACAAAACTCCAATGAACCGTTAAAAAATGTCTATATAGGTCCGCTGCAAATCCACTAAAACAATGTATGCTGGGTAGATTTCCGTAACGAATGCGAAACCAGTTATAAAAGCACGTGAAATTGAAATTTATTTAAAGACCGTGTTAAGCTCGATTAACACTGACCGTGAAACCAACGTGTTTTTGGTTTACGTCTAGATCTTCATATCCAGTCACGTGACAAATTTGGGTATGTATGGGTATATGTATTCCGACTAGATGTTGGATTTTAAATCCATACATGTCGGTTTTAATAAAAACTAGATGTGCTGGCATGGTATTATTTAACCTTCTGTTTACAGTCTTTTATGATTTGTATTTAGAAGTGTCATTTTATTCCTGCCTAACATACATTTGCGAGAGGCCATTCTCTTCCACAGATAATTTTTTTCAAAAAACCTATAACTTTGTAATTCAAAAAAAATTATCTTTATTGGTTTCCCTTTTTTGATAAATATAGTTAAGAACTTCTTTTATGCTGTTCTGTTACTGTATGAATTCTAAGTGAACTAAGGTATAATTTTTTTTAAACATAATTTAAGTTTACAAAAATTAATGGTTAAGCACAATACTTTTGAATTTTCAAAACGTAATTTTTTGTACCAATGTTTCCTTACGTGGGTAGCATTGGTACACCACATTTTAACATTAATACATAGAGAGAAATTTAATAGTAAATAATTGTATATTCAAGGAAAAAGAAAACTAATGTTTAATTAAATTAATAAAACATATACTACTTTAATTTACTACTTGAATTAAATAAATATCTACTCTCTAATAACCTACATATTTGCAAAGTGTAATAAAGTAAAATACTAACTTAGTGAACCAAGAATATTTGTAATTTACAGAGCAGATATTAAAAACTCCGTACCAAAGTTTCCCGATATCAATGTACCAATCGTCAACCTTTATCAGTGAGTGCCTCTAACAAACTTGAATACTTTTAATTGAATATCAACATTTATGTTATAATCACTACCCATCTAGCACACATACCTTGGGCCAACGCATGTAAAACCATCGCGAATGTAGGCTGTTTTTTTTCTAATGCAAATATAACGTTGATCCAATGTTATATTTTTAGCAATAAAATCAATAAAAGGGTTAATGCCGACGCAACTAAAAACAGTATGCACAGATATATTCATCCAACGTATTTAAAATCATCGTAAAAACTTTATTGTTTTTACGATCTAAACATATCGTTGATCTAATGAAAATAATCGTCAATTCAATGTGTATCAATTAAGGTTGATCCAATGTGTGTGTGGGAGTGTGTGTGTCTGTGTGTGTGTGTGTGTGTGTGTGTGTGCGTGTGTATATTTGTTTGTGTGTGTGTGTGTGTGTGTGTGTGTGTGTGTGTGTGTGTGTGTGTGTGTGTGTGTGGGTGTGTGTGTATATTTATATGTATATTTAAAAAAATATATTAACAAAGTCTAATTCCGATAAACATTACATGACGATTTTTATGTAAAAAAATAAAATCATTGATATTTTATTAATATACTTTCCATAACTTTTTAGTATTTCCCCGTCTAATATTTATGTTTATTTCTTATACCTTGTTTATCTTTTTCCACTTTTTTATACTACGAGAAAGATAATCACCTTCATTTTAACGGTTCTCGAAAACAAGACCTTACGGTCTTTTACGTCTTAACGTTCCTTTATTTCTTATTTACGATTATTATTTGTTACTAAGGCCGGCGAGAAGAGGGTAGGGGGGACCTTTTTTATTAAAATAAAACTTGTTTTTTATATTTATGTGCCTTATTTGTATTGTTTCATCAATTATATATAGTAGACAATGCGTAAAATGGATTAATTTGCTTTGCATAATTTAGTACTAGAAAGATTTTTTGTTAGTAACTCTTGTTTTGTTTTTTATTTAAAAAATGATTTATAAACAATATCTATGATATTTCTTCACGACTAAGAAAAGATTTGTTTATTATCGAAATTCTCTGATTAGAATCATGTAGTTGAAAAATTTTGACAACTCAGTCATGACATTTAGTGTTAATGATGCAGCGGTGGAAAGCCTGTTAAGACAAGCAGGTGTTTCTACTTGAATTCAAACACGTTTTACCTCTTTTTCGACAATAATCTTCATTAAATTGGGTGTGTTGCAACTTGTTTTGTACCAAATCCATTGTCAAATACCTCTACATCTGTAAAATAGGTGAGTTTTTGGAATTCATATACAACAAATGTTTTTGCGATTATTTATTTTAATCTGAAAATAATTTTATTTGTTTAAAAGAATTTTTTTTTGTAGTTATTATTAATATAATTTTTAGTACTTATATTTAATTTATTTGTTAGTAGTTATTATTTCATATTGCAGCAAATGATCGAAAAATCGAAGAGTAAAAAGAGGTTAACAACCCCCCCTTACCACCTTAAATAGTTAAAAGTCTTCCATGATTAAAAATCTCCCATGATTAAAAATTTCCCATGGTTAAAAATCTCCCATGACTAAAAATCTCCCATGACTAAAAATCTCCCATGACTAAAAATCTCCCATGACTAAAAATCTCCCATGACTAAAAATCTCCCATGACTAAAAATCTCCCTTGATTAATGTTTCTGCATAAAGTTTAATATGTATAAAATATGTATAAATTATCAAATTACTTTGCTACCTTCATTCACATAAAAAACACATTTAAACACATTTAAATTTTAGATTAAAAACTATTCATTAAAAAGTTGACAAAATGAACATTTAAACATCCTAATTTCAATACAAACAAAAATGTTACAATGTAAAAGTAACTATATAATATAAAAGTAAAATATAAAGAACAATGTAGAATTGTTAAAAATCAATGAATTGTTAAAAAGCTATAAAACTTTTTCAATTGTAAATATAGATAGAAAAAAATTTGGAGGTGGAAAATTGTGCACCTCTTTGCTTAGTTTTTTTTTAGTATCTTTTGTTTTTTCGTATTTTAAAAATGCTTTATTCAAAACAATATTTTACTATTTAAAGTTTACTATATGATAAATCATTTACTATTAACAATTAAAGCAACTGGGTCTGACGTCCCAGTGGCTTTCGTAAGACACCGATACAACGTCTTATTGACGTCACAAATCCATATGACGTCCGTAAAACGTCCAACGAACGTTTTGTGTCCGCTAGGTATAAGTTAAAACTGTTTAGTATAAATCTATTACAGGGCCAACAACACGGGTTTCGAAGTGGGGGAGGGAGAGGGGACACACACAAAAAAAATAGGTCATTTAGAAAAATAGTGGGGAAGCTTGTATTCCCTGGTCCCCAGTTGCGTTGGCATGTTTTACAATTGATTTCAAAAAATTATTCAATTTAAAACAGAATATCCTCATCTTTTTAAGCTTGAATTTTGTTCTAATGAGTCTTTAATTACAATACTCACGGAATGAAATCATTATTAATAATTTGATTTATTTTGAGTTAAAATTTTCAAAGCTAAATTTTTTTCTTATAAATTTAGGGCTTTTTAATACTTGTGCCTGAGTTTCCACAATGGTGCGAATGTTATCTTTTGCAACTAATTTTTCGCGTCCTTTAAAGAATATATCCAGTCGAGCACTAACAAAATTCAAATCGCAAACGTGTGAAAGTGTTAACAAAGATAATATGAATGAGTCTGGTTTTATTTCCCTAAGGCCTGTTGATATTATTTCTCGCTCAAGCTCTTGGTCAGGCCAAAAATTTAAAGTTTGATAGTTTATAAAATTTTCCGGAATCCTAAACCCAGTTTTTGTAAGTATTCCTCTTGCAACTAAATTATTCATTATCGATGTTATTGTTCCAGTAGTTTTTTGTGTTGAGCTCAACCAATCAGAAACTGATTGATTAAACTGTTTTTTTTGTTCTTTCGTTTCATTGTGATAAAATAAATGTCTAAACACAATGCCATTTATAAATGTAAAGGATAGATTTTCATCTGCCACGCGAATATAGAGATCGAGTTTTCGGTCTCCAAGTTTATGGTTTTCACAATGTTGATAAAGGTTAATAACTCCGGCTGCGTACAAATCCAGGAGTATTGCCGCGTGAGCTCCTAAATAAATAATTGCTAAAAATTAAAAAAATAAACAAAAATAAATTATTGCTAAAAATTTAAAAAATAGATATATCTAAGCCGGATTACCATATTACCAGATTACTATATTACCGGATTATTATATATAATTTTTTTATGCGGTCTTTGAGAATAGGTGCAAAAATTAGTTAGGGCCCCTTTTCTTAAAATATATATCCAAAAATGAATGCAGTAAATCATGAAATTAATTTTTTATTCATAAGGGAATTTTCTTGCTTTCACAATAACATTTTTGATATCTTGAAAATTTATATTTTGTTAGAGAGTACTTTAAATTGTTGTTTGTTAAATTGGTCGTTTAAATTCAAAGACAATTCACAAGACCATTTAACATTGATGTTAAATGGAAATCATTCTTAACTCTTGCTATTTTTGAAAATACTCACAGGGCATTACGATTGATAATTGGAAGGGTTAGAAAAATCCAATATGTCAGAATATAGAAAAACCTATTTTAACTTATTTAGATACTAATTGTTTGTAAACATCCTAGTGCTGATATCTCATTTGCTGATATATTTATCTCATTTGCAATGAACTTCAAAAACTGGACAATTTAATCATGGAATTGTGTATCTAAGTCTGAAGGTTAAATAATGTACAAGGAATTGAATTTAACAAAAAAGACAGGAACAGTAATGATCAAAAAATAAGTTAGAAAACTAAGCTTTCTCTCTGCAAAATCGTAAGCAGTAAGCCTTTGTTTTGAGCTCATTATCAACTTGTCTATGATACGGAATAAGTTTTTATTTCTAATTTTGTCACTATCACTTAGAATTACTTCAATCTCTGTATTCTCACTAACTTCTACTTGGCAAATCTTCCTTCTTGTACTTTAATAGTTGCATCAAATTGTAACATGATTCAATGCCAAAGTTTTTTTATTACAAAGATTTCATTTTCTTTAAAAGTGTAGTGACATTATTTTGTGTCTAACGTTATTCATCTTTATCCAAAACAATTAATTCTAAGGTCTCAAAAATACAAAAAAGACTCATCAACTTGTTATTCATCCATTTGGTGCAGTTGGGGCCAAAATTTTAGAGCTTTTTTGTTCCTATGCTTCAGTCATGGCAATTTTTTGTAAAGCATCATTATGGAGTATGCTTCATGTCTAGAAGTTTTTTAATTATCATTAGATATTTAGATTTTTAAAGAGACGGAACAAGATAATTTTCTGTAAATTGTAACTGACTGTAATTTGCATTTGAAATTTAAATAGAAATAGCTCCTGCAGACCAAATTCTCCAACTCAGGCTATTGATGTTAACTTTCCTGCCCTTTCCTAAGCCAAATACAAGACCACAACGAACGTTCTGCGATCTGTGAATTAAAGAAGCACAAAAATTATACTGACAAACCCAAAAAAATCAAATACATTCTCACAGCTGTCAACAGCATTTGAAAAATGGAGAATGTGCTGCACAAGAAATAAAACTAATGTTTGGGTTCTAATTTTTTTACTTGTGCTTGCAAGTTGTTTATTTTCCAGACATGTTAGGTACGTTGTCATATGGCTCACCACAAGCATTTTTAATATTTAAACTAAGCTCTTTTAATCTTTTCTTGATTGCATTTGTCATAGCCTTTCCAATATGCCCTAAAGAAGACTAAAACCATATAAACCTTTTTTCCTTAAACATATTGAATGATTATTGTAAGTGAGTCAAAGTGTGCAGTGTCAGATAATGAGCCAATAATCAGTGAAAAGTATTTAGTTTTGGATGCTTTGCTACCAATGGATTGCATAATATTTTTTACCGTTAAAAAGCTATTATCCTCATATATTGTTAATAAAATGTTATTTATGAAATTTTATTTCAACTACAAAAACAGATTTTATACATAATCTGTTACATCTAAAAGATAAAGCCAACTACGAAATTCATACTATTTTACCTAATTAAAAGTTGAGTACTTAATACATTTTTTAACCTTTGCAGTAGTGATATAGAAGCCCCAATATGCACAAAGTGTTGTGGCATATATTATTAAAAACTGGGGGTTCCTTCTAGAATAATTTTTTTCGGGGGTCGTGTCCAGTTGTGCCCGTGCGCCCGGGTTAATCCGGTATTGTCTATAGTAAATGCGGGTATAATGGAACGTAAAATTTTTGTAAATTATCTTTGAGGAAAAGTTATTTTAGAATTTATTTTTACAATATATTATAGAATTTTTTGCTCAATTACTCGATATAAAACTATTTGGTTCAAAATTTAAAAATTTTGACATGAGTTAAAATGAGTTACTGCAAGTAAATTGTTTTAAATTTAATTCACTATGAAGGCCTCCTAGTTATAAACACGGGCTTATTACCAATTGAGATAAACAAAGTTGAAAAATCTAAACTTCAATTTTGCAGAAATACTTCAACCAAATCAATAATAGTAACGTATCCACTCTCCTATCTCATTTATTTATTCTTAATTAGTAGTTGTGATAAATCCAAAAGCAAATATTGTTCTAATTCAAACTACTACTCATAAGAAAAAAAGTTGCTCTAGAAAATGCATTGAAAGAACAATTACGAGTTGAGTTTGTCAACACTGCAAAGCGAGTTAACAAACCTAAATGAAATTGAGTTAATTTACCCGAGACACAAAAGCAAGGCTGAATAAAAAAAAAGCAATTGCTTCTACTTAGCGTTTTTGGAGTAATTGCTCAACTTTATATGAATAACAACTTGAGCAAATTTGCTAAAAATTTTATTCACGTAAAGCTGTGCAATTACTCTAAAAACGCTAAGTAAAAGAAATAGCTTTTTTTTATTTACCCGGCCTATACTCAAACAGGCTGAATACCAAAAAAAAGATGTAAATTAAAAAAAAAAAATTGATTTTAACTACTTTTTCATAGATCATTATTGATCATAGATCATTATTGATCATAAATTTAACGATTATCATTCTAAAATTTAAAACATTTTTGTCATAAGCTTTTGTATACTTAAAGGCAAGCTTTTTAACAAATGTTTTTGATAGCCCATAATGAATATATACAGAAACAAAGTACTGAATTTACTATCCTATATTACAAACAAGTTACTAAGAGCTGCTCTTTCAACATAGAGAAATGTGTCTTTGCGTTGTCATTTTATTTACACTAAAATATCGTAGTCTTAAGTGGATGATCATTACTTTTTCTAAAGAATCACACGTTTGTTTTTAATAACTTTTCTTCAATATTTTTTTATAAGTCTACTCACCATAAATTTATAAGAAAAAAAATTGAATCAGAAAATATCTTAAATTAATATATTGGTTATTTTAAAACACTTATAAAAAACTATAAGTGGTTGATAACAGTTAAAGTTGTTGAAACATCGCCAAACAACCAAATCCTCTGTAAGTTACAAAACTTTAATAGAGCTTTACTGTTCAAGTGTTTGTTGATCTAACTATGTGACACGTTTGCTTCTGAAAAGTTAATCTATTTTATATTTTATACCACACATGCCAAAAATGCGGCAGTGTTTGTTACGAAACAACTTTTATCTTAAATTACATATTAAAACATTTTTCTAAAACTAAAATTTATTCTATATTAGAGTAATTATTTGAGAAACTTAGTGCACATGTGTAATTTATTGCTTTTTATTTAACATTCATGTTAAGTTAAATAAAACTTTTTTTTTATGCAACTCGAGTTTTTTTTTTTTACACCATAATATTTTCAAAATCAACAAAAAAATTACTTTATTAATAAAATAATTTTTTTGTTAATACATTTTGAAAATATTATAATGTGAACAAAAAAAATTCTTTATTAATAAAATAATTTTTTTGTTAATACATTTTGAAAATATTATGATGTGAAAAAAATAAAATTACTTTATAATTTATAATAAAATAATTTTTTTGTTAATACATTTTGAAAATATTATGATGTGAAAAAAATAAAATTACTTTATAATTTATAATAAAATAATTTTTTTGTTAATACATTTTGAAAATATTATGATGTGAAAAAAAAAAAAAAAAATTACTTTATTAATAAAATAATTTTTTTGTTAATACATTTTGAAAATATTATAATGTGAAAAAAAAAAAAAAAAAATTACTTTATTAATAAAATAATTTTTTTGTTAATACATTTTAAAAATATTATGATGTATAAAAAAAAAAAAAAAATTACTCGAATTGCATAAAAAAAGAAAAAAAATTTATTTAACCTAACATGGAGCTCTAAATTGCACATGTGCTCTAAGTTTCTCAAATAGTATAACTTCTAACATTGAATAAGTTTTAATTAACTAATGAAGTTTAATGTCATATATTTGTTATGTTGACTTTTATAAATTATCAAAACAATCTGATTATCTACAGATTATTTCAATTATAAAACAAAAGAATAAAAACATACGAGTAATTTTGACAATCAAATACAAAATGAAAGTATAAACAAATGAAAATATAAAAGAGCTTCAAAAACATTTTACGTAGGTGCCAGTCGTGTAGTCTTTAATATATCGGTGTCAGTCATTTAGTTTTTATTTATATGTCGGTGTCATACGCTCATGTAGTTTTGATTGGTATGTTGGTGACACACAGCCATAGAAACATTTAAAAACGCAAAAATATTTTTGATTGAAGTGTGTTTGATAATTTCTGCAGTTATAACTTTTGCAACAGAATGCTTCTTTTGCTAGTGGTCACATATATTGAAAAATAAAATTTTGAAATCGTGGGTGCGTACTCTCAGTTTGCGAAACACTTGGTTAAGAAAAAACTCATCCTTTCAACGATTTTTCTGCAATTTAGGCAACCTTATAATTTATTTTCAGTATTGTTCTAAATGTATATTAGTAATTTACTAATAATTACTAATTATAAAATGACAATATGGTAAAAATATGGTAAAAGGTTTTAAAAAAACATTTAATAATTTAGAAGTTTTTAAATAATGAGTTTGAAAGAACATGTATTAAAACCAGTAATAATAAAAAAATTACCGTAAAT